GTTGTTGTTGTTGTTGTTGTTGTTGTTGTTGTTGTTGTTGTTGTTGTGTGGTCGTGGTTGTGGTTGGCGTCCGCTGTGCAACTCTCTGGAGACAAGAGGCCCCATGCCATACATCTGCCATCGCAGACGCTTGCCCTTTCCTGCAACACCTTGTCTCCAGTGTCTCGAGACCATCCTTGCAACACGCGTGTTTTGTGACACATCCGGTCCCCGGTGCAGTGCAGTGGTTTCGAAACCACTCTAGATTCCGCACATGTCGCAGCAGCGCGAAGAAGACAAAAAGGTTCAAACACAGGTGAGCGTGCCCATTGTCGACACGCGTTTCGTATTTGGTGCGGTGAGCTAGCTCGCCTCGAGAGAGTCAACACCCATGTACCAGCACATGCAGAGGGGCCAACCGAGCCTACCGCGGAGGAGATGTCACCGTAGTCAAAGAAGTCGACGATAGTTTGAGAGGTGAACATCAGGTGTAACAGGTCGTTAGGCGACGGAAGATTTTTTTGTAGAAACGACATATTCTGGTGATTTTTAGTGCAGAAGCCAACGAACTATTAATTTCTTAAGAGCATCCTTGTTTTGCAGTGATGGAAAACACGCTTGCATTCATTCAAACATGTCTCTCACGTTTCGTTAAGTTTGGTTCCAGGGTAGTGGAGGGCGGTGCCCTAGCAGCTCTGAGGGCCATGGATACCATGATTGAACACTTCGAATACATGGGGTTTGCCAATACCGCCCATATTGGCCCCCTGAATCAAGCCCGACACGAGCTGGCGGACTTCTTGACCTTTGCAGACTATTTGCTTGGACAAGCGACCGAAACCCTGAATAACTGGGTTCAGTGGAGTGGGTAGCCAACGCGCTACCTTGTACCAGACGAAGCCTAGGCGTAGCCCTGGAAGAATAGGGACGGACCACCCGGAGCTTCGCTCATGGGTACGTTGGGGCTTAGCCCAAGCGGGTCCGACTCAAAACGGCCGGAGGCACGTAGGCGGTAGACAAGTCGGGTCGGAGTTGCTAGCAAGCGTCATGCAACAGGGCAAAAGACAAAACACCCAATAGCATGAAGATAGACAGTACGTCATATCAATGGGATGCAACGTG